TAGTGATGTTTACCAAATCATATAAAACAACGAAGATTCCCTATTATTTGCGAAAACAATTCAATCAACATCCACACAAAAAATCACAATTTGAATCTTGTTATTAGAAGTCAACTTGAATAGTCATATTCGAAAAATATATTAAATATGACTATAGTCATATTCGAATATGGCTATAGTCATGTTACTACTGCTGTTCAGATCTGGAAAAAAAATCGAAAAATACATAAATAAAGATAGAAAAATAACGAGACAGAGGGCGAGGTCTTCATACACAAAATCACCCTGGCATATCTTCACCCCAAACGACCCTCCATACTTTAACAGAATCATCAAGGTTGACGACATGATGTGCAGCACTACAAAAAAACATGAGAATGTGACTACAATGTGACTACCGAATTGTGATACTTTCACAATTTATATCCGGAGCTAGGGGGCACCAAATTCAATCTCCTCCGTACAGTATATAAAAATATATACTCTGAATACTCTATCCAAATTTAGGCCACATCCAACGGTTCAATTGTACAAAAAACGCGTCCAATCTAGCTGCCATGAATTATTCAGTAACAAAAACCAGCAGCGAGTTTTAAGATCCAATCTATATTCAGAGAAGTCTGATTCCGATCTCCACCGTTCATAAGTTATATTTATGTGTTACGAATCATGTGTAAAAATATCAACCCGATCCGATGGTTAGATCTTCCGATCTGGCCTCTGCACGAAAACTGTTGCATCTCAAAAACTTGATTTTTCTCCTTTTTTTTCGTTCGCTCTTCGGAAGGAGAATCAAACCCGGCGCCGGCGCCGTGTGCGGCTGAGTGGTGTCCATTGGCGAGTGATGGAGGATTATGGGCTGAAGAAGAAAAAAAAAAAAAAAGAGAGAAGTTGCGTGAGAAATAGAGAGAGAATGAAAGAGAGATATATGGAGAGAATTAATGTAATCCTACAATTACGTGAGACGGTTATGGAAAATAAATATTGCAATTATTTTAAAAACTACTGATAAGGGTAGTTCCGTCTTATTAAAGTTGTTGAGGGGGGTTTCACTAATTAAGATTGGTCTTTGGGTGTGGGCAAAAGTCTTAAAAGTCAAATGGGTTTAACTCATAATATTTATGGTTTGAGGGGGGTTTTGCATATTTCCCCTTTCAAATAAGATGGTACATTTTAGTTTAAAAAAAGGGGTAATGGCAAATAGGCCCATGACAAGGGCACTTAATTAAAAGAGGGACACTCAACTTTTTTGTCTTTCAAATAAATCCAACCCATTCAAACTTATTTGCAAATAAGGAAAATCCTTTTATATATACCAAAATTACCCCCAATTCATTGAAACCTAATTTAACTCCAATTTCATGATTTACACCCCAATTTAGCCCAATTTCATCAATTAACCAATTTTAACCCTAATTTCAATTTTGACCCCAATTTTGACCCGCCACCACCGGAGACCGCCGGTCGCCGCCGTTGACCGGCGTTGACTTTTTTTTTATTTTTTTATAATTTTGTTTTTTCTTAAAAAAAATATTTTAATTACTATTACTGTCTTGGCTGCTGAATTACTGTCTCCAGCAGTTATTTAACTGTCGGAGACAGTAATTTAACTGTTAACTCACTCTTTTGTTTTTTTTTTCTTCAAAAATATTTTAATTAATATTACTGTATTCGTTGCTAAATTACTGCCTCCAACAGTTATTTAATTGTCGGAGACAGTAATTTAACTGTTAATTGACTTTTTTATTCTTAAAAAAATATTTTTAATTAATATTACTGTATTCGTTGCTAAATTACTGTCTCTGGCAGTTATTTAACTGTCGGAGACAGTAATTTAACTGTTAATTGACTTTATTTTTTTTCCTTAAAAAAAATTATTTTAATTAATATTACTGCCTTGGATGTTAAATTACTGTCTCCAACAGTAATTTAACTGTCTTAGACAATAATAGTAATAATATTACTGTTCGGAAAAATAATATTCATAATATTACTGTCCCAAACAGTAATATTACTGTCTGAGATAGTAATTTAGTAGCCAAGACAGTAATATTAATTAAAATATTTTTTTTTCTAAGAAAAACAATTCAAAAAAAAAAAAAAGAAGTCAACGGTGGTTGACCGGCCGGAAAAAAATTTCAGGAAAAAAAAAAGTTTCAAAAAAAAAAAAAAAAGTCAAAGCCGGAGACCGGCGGTCAACGCCGGAATCTGGCCGGAAAAAAAACATTTCAGAAAAAAAATTATTTTCAGAAATAAAAAAGTTTTGGGGGTTAATGTGATATATTTGTTTAAATTCGGGGTCAATGTGTAATATTAAGGAAGTTAGAGTACAATGGGTGGAATTGATAAGAATTATATTATTGAGGGTATTTTAGATTAAAGACATGGGGATGGGTTTAATTGAGAGACTGTTTTTTTTGTGGATCAAAATGCATTTAAGTCCCATGTGATGGGCCTTTTTGGCATTTGCCCTTAAAAAAATCATCGATTGAATCGTTAAAGTCGTATAAATCACAACAAATCATAAAATGTCAATAAAATTATGTCAAATCCAAATTTCTCTAAAAAATCAAATCGGAAATTGCAAAACCAAAACAAATCCTTGAATGGAATCGTAAATCTAAGAATTTGGTAACCATGTATAGTATACATATATATTGAATACAAAAAATCCTAATTCTATAGACACAAATTCCTACGTCAAAAAAATAAGTTTGTATTTTAAAATCTCTTTACTTCTATTAACTTTTTCATATTGACTATTTTTCTTAGAATGTCTTTAGTTCTATCATTTTGTTAATATAAAAACAGAAACTGAATTAGTGTAAAATTGATATGTATTATTCCTAACCTTATAAAAACCGATACATTTGGTTGGTGTTAAGGTTTTTTTTCCAGGTGTATAAATCGGGTAGTGAATTTAGTAAAATGGTAAAACAATTTAGTGGGAAAAAATACAAAAACATTAGTCGAGGCGAGTAAACTCTTTCCTTAAGACAAATTTGCCCGGCTACAAAATGATAAATTTCACCGATCTAAAAAATGAACTATTCGGTAAAGTGCAAACCTTGGATTACTAAAAAGATGATCTGGTGAAGCATGCATGTTGGATTCTATTACGTCTGGAAATTCATGCCAAAACGAAAGGATTTAACATTATTTTTTCTTTAGCTTAACGGGATAGAACTAGGGGTGGAAATCGGAACAAAATTTCCGAATTCCGCCGAATTCGATCCGAATTTTCCGATTTTGGAATGATTTTTTGTAGTCCGTATTACGAAATTCTGATTTCCAATTTTTTTCCAAAAAAAATTGTATCGGAATTAGAATTGTATATGAATTATTCGGGATTTCTGAATTCCGATTCGATAATAATCCCGAAATTATGATAACGAAATTTTCCGAAAGTTATTCATATTTCTTCATTACTATATATTGTTTCTAGTGAGTCTTTGAAAAGCCCACTTTAGCCAAGGCAGCCCACTTTAGCTAACTGATGAGTTCAAATATTGAATATTCAGAATTTTAGGGACTAAATAATAAATACCACAAACTTCTAATAAAACCCTAATTGCTTCCTTGTTCTTCTTGCGCCGCTCACATTTTCTTTGAACTATTTTGTCTCTTTCCACCGCCAACTCTTTTTCTCTATCACATGAGTCATAACACCTAACTTACGATATCTTTAATCGTTGCCTTCGCGAAACAGATGCTGGAATTGCTGCGAAATACCACAATCCCTTTTTCTCTCAAGATCGCCGAGTTGCTACCAAGAGCTACCGTTATTCTGTCTATAAATCTCCGCCGTGGTCGTTGCTTTTCATCCGTGATACAGTCGTCGGGCATAGTCAACGACGTTTGCGAAAATTCCGAAATTCCAATTTTTTTGGAATCGGAATCGGAACGACCTTTTGTATTCCGAAATTTTCGGAATCGGAATCAGAAGTGATTTTTCACTTCCAAAAAAAATCGGAAAATTTTCGAATTCCGATCCGATCCGTACAATCTCCACCCCTAGATAAAACACATGCATGTTGGATTCTATTACTTTTCGGAATTGGATGATCCTCAAACTATAGGAAATCCTATAGCAAAAACCTCTAAAACCTAAATGCTACAAATGGGATTAAACACCCAAAACACGTTGTTACGACACTCACCCAGTAATCTATATATCTATATAATATATAAAAGTTCGAATTCCACCTTCAATTGATTGATATTTTACGATTTCAATTGGTGTCATGTATTCAATTTCATTCCATGTGACAAATTAATCGGTGAAAATAAATCATTAAAAAACATGTCACCATTTTCCAAAATTAAAAATAATTAAATATATTTAATTATTTTATTAATATATATTTATTTATATCCTACCATTTATCAAATGCTGTAAGTATATCAACTTTTTTGGAAACTGTAAATTGATTTATTTTTTAATTTAATTTTAATAGTAATTAATTTAAGGGGCTATTTGTAAAAACACCCCTCGTTCATTTTTTACTTCTTGATAAATCCAATTTTTTTTAATTTATATTTGTTATAAACCCAATTGGCTCGAATTATCAAATATGTCCCTATTTAATATTACTGAAAATTTCTATATTATATTATTTTGAAAAATCCAATATTTTTGGGTAGATATGCAAATTCCCCTATTTTCTCCCCACCGTCCCCCTATTTTCTTATGTATCATGCGTCTTTCTCCTTCCATTAATTATTTAATTAATTTGGGGTTTTTTTATTTATGTTTAAGTTTTATCATTTGTTTTTTAATTTTTTAAATGGTTTTCTTTATACATCTGTTTTTTAAAAGTTAAATTTATAAAAAAAAATTATTTTTAACAAATTGAATTCCACTATAACTCCAAAAACCACTATGTGATTATAGTATTCTATTACGAAAATCCATTATAAACTTATCGAAAATCTCTATGGATTTAACAAAAACCAGTTTTTTTTTTTTTTTTTTTTTGAAAAAAGTAACAGAGATATTATTAGGCTAACATAGCCAAATGAGAAGGAAGGGAGAGACCCTCAGTAGTGGCCAGTTCCATGGATGAAGCGATTCCATGAGCTAGCTTATTACAGGAACGAGGAACGAAAGAAAAACGACAAGATAGGAAAGATAATGTAAGATTACTAATGTCTTCTAAATAAGCACCAAAGGAACACAAAAAAGAATTTTTATCTTGGAGTGCTATGATGAGCTGACGGCAGTCCCCTTCGATAATAACTGACGGCCAGCCCCGTGCACGAGCACCTTGAATTGTTGTAAGAGCGGCATGGGCCTCTCCTTCAACTGGTTGAACCCGTCCGGGCAAAGAGGCGACGCTCCACCAAATTGTAGTGCCCTCGGAATTTCGGGCCACCGTGGCCACCTTGTAATACGACTGAGATGGTGGAAAAGCAGCGTCGAAGTTAACTTTCACAACTCCTTCCGGCGGCGGCGTCCAATGTACCTGTGAAGCTGGGTTCTTTGCGATAGAGGGTTCAAAACATGCCGACCTGAATGTGGAGAGGTAATCTTCACTCCAATTCCGCAGATCCCGTCCTCGAAGACACGTATCTCCATGTGCTTCTCGATTTCTCGAATCCCACGCAGACCAGCAGATAACCATAGCAAGGCAAACCGCTTCTCGAGAGGTAGTCTTGTTCAAACGGTCAAACCAAGACCGGAAAGAAACCGGCTCGATCGTCATATCCAATTCAAAAGGTTCCGTTTGCCAAACCTCGGGCAAACCCCTACAACAAATCAATGCGTGCACCGTAGTTTCTGCTTGAGACCGACATAAGATGCCGAACGGATCCGATGAGATGTGGCGGCGAAAGAGAGCCCCGTTACAAAAAAAACCACTCCATAATTAATGAAAATCACTCAGTAATTAACAAGTTCCATTACAAAAAAATCACTAAAAACTTATCAATTAACGAAAACCACTCTGTAATTAACGAAAACTACTCTGTAATTAATGAAAATTACTATGTAATTAACAAATTTCATTACAAAAATTCACTACAAACTTATCAATATAACAAAAACCACTCTGTAATTAATGAAAACCACTCCGTAATTAAGGAAAATTACTATGAAATTAACAATTTCCGTTACAAAAATTCACTATGAACTTATCATATTAACAAGAGCCCCTTGAATCAATGCATGGAGGTGGAACTGAGTTTTGTGTGATTATACTTTTGAGGGTCTTCAGGACTTGTACGTCTCTCCAATGCGTGGATGAGTTCGCCAATTGGATTAATATGGAAATTGTCAAGAATGGAATGAGTGAAAGAATTGTCAGTGTGTGAGAGAGAGAGAGAGAGAGAGAGAGAGAGAGAGAGAGAGAGAGAGAGGGGTAGAGTTCAAATGAATTAATGAATGAAGATGATGAAAATAATTAGCATTAATTTCAAATGAATTGGCATTAATTTCAGTTTATATATATATATATATATATATATATATATATATATATATATATAAAAGATTTAGATAGAAAAAAATGAGGGGTATAATGGTGATAATTAATTATTTTTTATTAATAAAAAATATTTTTGATTTATCTTTAAAATGTGAAATAAATTTAAGCTTGTTGTAACTACACTAGTGTGATGAGGGGGTTTGTCAAATTTTCCTTTAATTTAATTTGATTATAGTTAAATTCAATTTAAAATCTTTTTTTGAAGAAAAGATGATGAATATTATTAGGTAATATGCGCCAAATGGGTAGGAAGTGTAACACCTTCCGTGGAAAAGTGACCATAATATTTAGCTATCGCATGGGCCAAACAATTTCCCGAGCGTTTAATATATTTAAAACAACAAGATGAAAATGAAGACGCAATCACAATATTATTCTTAATGTACGCACCAAAGGATGCCAAGTTCATGGAGCAGTCCCGTAGGGTCTAGATAACCGAGAGATTATCACCTTCGATGATAACTTTGGCCCATTCAAATTCTTTAGCTTTAACCAGAGATCGGAGAACCGCATGGGCCTCTCCGTCTATGGCCTTTGGACGTACGTGAATTTTATAGGCAGCCCACCAGACACATTTACCACTATTATCTCGAGCAATACACGCTAGGGAGTAGAATGTTTCTCCCACCGGAAACGTGCCATCTACATTATTTTTTATCACTCCTCTTTCCGGTGGCTTCCAATGAGCTGGATGACTTCTACTCCAAAGCTGAAGGGGTTTAGTCATTCCCTGCTTAAACTCCGCTAGATAGGAAATGCTCCAGCTCCAAACCTCCTTTAACGGGATCCCGTTTTCCTCGTGGGTTTGCTTGTTCCAATTGTCCCACAACTTCCACATAGCTATCACCACCAAACAAACTTCATCAACTTTCAGCTCCTTGAATAACAAGTCGACCCAACCCTTTGATGACGCCATTTTATTCTCCGCAAACAAAGCCGGCGGAAGTGCCATCCAAACCACCTCCACCCCGCTGCATTTGGTGATAATATGGAGGAATGATTCGTGAGCAGCTCCACATTTGCGGCAACAAGGATCTATGACAATTTTTCGACGGTACAGTTCGAAGTTAGTCGGCAAAATGTCGGAGCATACACGCCAAAGGAAGATTTGGATCTTCGGAGGAATAGTTAGCTTCCATATTTTTCTCCAGTCGAAGTGTGGTAATCCGCTAGTCGAAGACCCGTCTGCCCCAGGGTCATGCTAGAGTGGAAAAATAGACGTCAAAATGTGATGGTAACAAGAGCGGACCGTAAACTTACCGTGATTTGAGAACCACCAGACCCAACGATCTTCAACTTGAGGGCAACCGATTGGGACTGCCATTATCCGATCCTTATCCACCTGCCAAAAATTATCTGCGATAATTTGGAGATCCCATGAGTTCGTCAACGGATCAATAAGGTCCAACACTTTATTCGGGAAAGAAGAATCATTTGGTCTCCTCGTAAAAACCCTAAAGCGACATCCTCCATGAGCCATGGGTCTGCCCATATGGATGTAGACTGTCCGTTTCCCACCCTCCGACGTAGCCCTGAAAAAACATGCTCTCGAACCGACCATATGCTCCTCCATGTTGCCGAGGGTTGATAGCCCAAATATGCCGAGAATAAAGAGCCATGCGGAAAGTATCTTGCTTGTAATATTCGAGATAGAAGAAGCTCAGGTTCCGTCATTATTCTCCAAGCTTGTTTAGCAAGCATGACCAAGTTAAAGAACCTCATATCTCTAAACCCTAGACCGCCAAGATCCTTCGAACTTTTTCCATGCAACCCATGACATTTGATGCTTCGATCCATTTCCCCATCAGTATGCTTGGATTGCCGATTCAATCTCCCGTAGAAGACCTGATGGGAGCAAAAAAAAGCCCATCATATAAGCAGGGATGGCCTGGAGAACCGCCTTAATGAGAACCTCTTTGCCCGCTTTCGAGAGGTATTTTTCACCCCACCCAGTAATCCTTGCCCAAATACGTTCTCGAAGAAAGCTAAAGATTTCCTGCCTCGTCTTGCCCAACGCTGCCGGCATGCCCAAGTACTTCTCATGCTTATCGACCACCTCAAGTCCTAAAGTTCTCTAAATTGCTTCTCGTATAGCCGGTGGTGTTGATGGGCTAAACGATATTTTAGACTTCTCATGATTAATCTCTGGTCCCGATATATGCGCATATTTGTTTAAGATCTCCCTCAGAACAGTTGCATCAGTCTCGGCAGCTCGACAAAATATAAGAATATCGTTGGAGAAGCATAAATTAGATACAATTGGGGCCGATGGCGCTATTTGAATACCACGTATACCACCACCACTACTCGCCCTTTGTAGCATTGCAATTAGCGCCTCCGCACAGCAAATGAAGAGATAAGGTGACAGAGGGTCACCTTGTCTAAGGCCTCTCCGAGGTTGTAAAGCCCCAAACTACGAACCATTGAACAAAAACTCATACGAGACAGTGAAAACACACATCATAATTAGTTCTACCAGAGAAATGGGTAACCCTAAACGACGTAAAACTTTCTCCAAAAAAGGCCATTCAATCTGATCGTAAGTTTTACTAATGTCAAGTTTGATAGCGATATAGTGAGTTTTGCCTCTAGTCCTAGATTTAATTTAGTGATTGATCTCATATGCAACTAGGACATTATCAGTAATAAGCCGTTTCGGGACGAAAGCGGATTGAGTGGGGGAAATCAGATCGTCTAAGAAGGGTTGAAGCCGATTAGCAATAGTTTTAGAGCCAAATTTGTATATGACATTACACAAGCTAATAGGACGAAATTCAGTCATTTTCTCCGGTTTTTTTACTTTAGGAATAAGCACGATATATGTGGAATTAAGAGTAGGTGGGAGATTCTTATTATTGAGGAAATCGAGCACACAAGAAATAATTGAGTTATTTGACAAAACCTCCTCAATGAAAATTTCTATTATGATAAAAAATCCAATTTTTTATTCAAAATTTGACATAAACCCATTACACTCAAATTATCTAAAATGCCCCTATTATACTTTCTCTTTCCAAAATAACTCTCCACAAATATCTCACCTTATTTCAGTTATTTTTTTCATTATCTAAACCTCCTCAATTATCTAAAATGCCCCTATTATATTTTTTTCAAATATCTCACTTTCGCTTTTAATTTATTTTAATTTTTCTATTTAGTTTTTTATTTTTTCCACCAGGTTTTAAAAAATATTGTTTTCAACTCCCAATTTTTTTGAACTTTTTGTTTTTTTTTTTCTATTTCATTTTGTTTTTTTATGTATTTATTTTTTTATTTTTTTCCATTTGGGTTATAAAAAGTGAAATCCACTATATACTCATTGAAAAATACTATAAATTTATCGAAAACCACTGCAAATATTACTGTAAATTAACGTAATCCACTTTAATATTAAGATAATCAACAATAAACTTATCCAAATCCACTAAAAACATATGTAATCCACGACGAATGAACGTAATCCACTACTAGCACGACTCAAAAAATAGCAAACATAAAAAAAAACGTAAATCCAGTATTCGAAACGTAAATCCACTATTCGTAAATCCATTATTATGTCCTAGAAAAAGTGCAACACTACTACCAACAATGCGAGCGTCATTCCGAGCGACATGGTGTGGTGTCTCCTCTCGGGCTTGAAATCCATTGCGCTGCCGGATTATAAACGCAATAACAACGGTAGAAAAAAGAAAAAAAGAAAAGAAAAAATAATTGTACAATTCCTACACCCACCGCTACAAAATAACTTGGGCATTGCCTTTACATAATACAAACATTGTATTCACAATGGACAAAGTCAATTCAAATATTAAACAAAATACAGATGAACACCACATTTCATGCCTTAATTCTATTATTATTTTCAATATTTTAATTTCTTTTGAGTCACAAGATGATTATCACAATAAACAAGTTTTAACTAAGCAATAACTTTTCAGAAAAAAACAAAAACAAATAAAAGAACGCACATGCCGGATAAAAAACAAGACGAAAACATGGTATACGTCTAAACAACACAAATCAATTAGAAAGCAATTAGAAAATACAATCCTAAATTTCAACTGACAAAGAAAAACCTATTTTAGCCATTTGTATTTAAAAAAAAATCGCTTATGGAGAATTTAGACTAATTGCGCAAAAATATTGAAAAAAATACTCTTTATTGGTGGATTGAGATGTTGGATCTCGATAATCCATAAAAAAATGATATTTCAAGGGCT